AAAGACGCTGGGCACCCAGCACCGCCAATACAGTGTCACCAGAGAGGACTCCTACCTCGCGGAACACCCCTGGCTTCAGCCCGAGGCTGTTACATGACTTTGAAAACGTAAATCAGATGGAAGTTACTAACTCCAACACATGGCATTGAGGTGTGCTGGCTGTGGAAATAGTAAAGCGAAACATAGTTGGTTTTGTTTTCTCCAATCCTCACCTAAGGATATGTTCTTACTGATTTTTTAGAGAGAGAGGGAGGAGAGAGAGAACAAAACATCGATGTGAGAGAGAAACATCGACCAGTTGTTTCCCTTATGTGCCCCAGTCGGGGATTGAACCCACAACCTGGGTGTGTGCCCTGGCTGGGCCTCGAGCCTACAGCCTTTTGGCATAAGGGACAATGCTCCAACCAACGGAGCCACCCAGCCAGGGCCAACATCCCAGTTTCAAGTGCTGTGTGCAAACTTAGTATTCCGAGGCGGTGTTTCTCTGGGTGGGTTCACGAACGGCACAGTCCATGCGTAATGAATGACAGGCCTTGTCGGAGGGGTCGGCAGGGACCCGCAGTCCGGCAGGCGTGGGGAACACTTGCTCAGGTAGATGCTTTTGTGCCACAACGTGGCCTAGAACATCTCCATGCTGGTCACGTGCACCGTGACCTCAGGGAGTAATCTAAGAGACGTGTTCTGTGGGGTGCATGTTGAAAAATGTGCTTCTGACATGATTTGAAACTCTACAGGCTATCTATAGATGAATATTGCATTTTCAGAAGGAAAGAGTCTAAGTTAAAGAAGTAAGTTGATAAGTATATTCACATGTAACATTGGCTCAACATAGGCTCTTTTGAATAAAATCAGTACCCTTGTGGGTTTTTTGTTGTTGTTGAAAATTGTTTTTATTTTTATTTTCTTTGAGTTTATTGGGGTTAATAAAACTGTACAGGTTCAGGTGTATACACAACACATCATCTGCACATTGCACTGTGTGTTTACCACCCCGAATCAAGTCTCCTCATGTCATCCTGTAACCCCCTTTCCTTTCTACTGCCCCCCCACCCCCCTTCTCTCTGGCGATCATATCTATGGGGCAGAATGAAAGAAAATACACAGGTCTTCTAGTTCTGAGATCTGACATCTCCAAGTTCACTGGGGACACCATCTGTCTTGTGGCAATCTTCAGCCACGTGAGTGTCACACAGTGGAAACAGACCAGCACAGAGGTCTGTCTGTGGGGCCGGTGACTCCCCAGTGAACGCAGTGTGGTCCTCCTGACCCTTCTCTCACTAGCCTTCCCTGCAGTGCGTGGACAGTGTTCACGTGCAGAGGCCAGCCTGTGCTCCATCCCCGCGCGGCGGCATCCCTCACTCGGGTCCACCCTGTGCTGGAAGGTGCGTGGACAGTGTTCACGTGCAGAGGCCAGCCTGTGCTCCATCCCCCGGGGGCATCCCTCACTCGGGTCCACCCTGTGCTGGAAGGTGCGTGGACAGTGTTCACGTGCAGAGGCCAGCCTGTGTTCCATCCCCGGCGGCATCCCTCACTCGGGTCCACCCTGTGCTGGAAGGTGCGTGGACAGTGTTCACGGGCAGAGGCAGCCTGTGTTCCATCCCCGGCGGCATCCCTCACTCGGGTCCACCCTGTGCTGGAAGGTGCGTGGACAGTGTTCACGGGCAGAGGCAGCCTGTGCTCCATCCCCGGCGGCATCCCTCACTCGGGTCCACCCTGTGCTGGAAGGTGCGTGGACAGTGTTCACGGGCAGAGGCAGCCTGTGTTCCATCCCCGGCGGCATCCCTCACTCGGGTCCACCCTGTGCTGGAAGGTGCGTGGACAGTGTTCACGGGCAGAGGCCAGCCTGTGTTCCATCCCCCGGCGGCATCCCTCACTCGGGTCCACCCTGTGCTGGAAGGTGCGTGGACAGTGTCCACGTGCAGAGGCAGCCTGTGTTCATCCCCCGGCGGCATCCCTCACTCGGGTCCACCCTGTGCTGGAAGGTGCGTGGACAGTGTTCACGGGCAGAGGCCAGCCTGTGTTCCATCCCCGGCGGCATCCCTCACTCGGGTCCACCCTGTGCTGGAAGGTGCGTGGACAGTGTTCACGTGCAGAGGCAGCCTGTGTTCCATCCCCCGGCGGCATCCCTCGCTCTGGGTCCACCCTGTGCTGGAAGGTGCGTGGACAGTGTCCACGTGCAGAGGCAGCCTGTGTTCATCCCCCGGCGGCATCCCTCACTCGGGTCCACCCTGTGCTGGAAGGTGCGTGGACAGTGTTCACGTGCAGAGGCCAGCCTGTGTTCATCCCCCGGCGGCATCCCTCACTCGGGTCCACCCTGTGCTGGAAGGTGCGTGGACAGTGTTCACGTGCAGAGGCAGCCTGTGTTCCATCCCCGGCGGCATCCCTCACTCGGGTCCACCCTGTGCTGGAAGGTGCGTGGACAGTGTTCACGGGCAGAGGCAGCCTGTGTTCATCCCCGGCGGCATCCCTCACTCGGGTCCACCCTGTGCTGGAAGGTGCGTGGACAGTGTTCACGGGCAGAGGCCAGCCTGTGTTCCATCCCCCGGCGGCATCCCTCGCTCTGGGTCCACCCTGTGCTGGAAGGTGCGTGGACAGTGTTCACGGGCAGAGGCCAGCCTGTGTTCCATCACCGGCGGCATCCCTCACTCGGGTCCACCCTGTGCTGGAAGGTGCGTGGACAGTGTTCACGTGCAGAGGCCAGCCTGTGTTCCATCACCGGCGGCATCCCTCACTCGGGTCCACCCTGTGCTGGAAGGTGTGTGGACAGTGTTCACGTGCAGAGGCCAGCCTGTGTTCCATCCCCACGCGGCATCCCTCACTCGGGTCCACCCTGTGCTGGAAGGTGTGGCTGCGAGTAGCCCGGGCGGCAGTCCGCACGGCGGCCGTCTGGTGAGCCGCTGTCCACGCCGTAGACCGGCACCGCCCGTGCTCCCGGAGTCTCCTGCACGGAGAAGGGACGCTTCCGCTCGTCCTGGGTTCGCGGCCTCGTGAGTGATCTCGTTACGTTGCTGTGTGTGTTCTGACATCCGCACGGAGATAGCTCTGCGCAGAACTTGGCGTAGTTCTCGGATATAAGGATTCAGGGATGTAAACCGGTTCAGATGCCTCCGCGTCTGGTATTTTTGCAAAGCAAATTCCCGGCGAACTTGTCGTTTTCCTCGGGCATATCCTCGTCACCTGCAAAGAGGAGGCATCACACAAGCAAAGTGACAGTGACTTCTGCCTTCACGAGGTGGGGACTCTGTATCTTTGGCTCCACGGTCTAGGGAAAGGGACCACACTGTCCTGGTGCTCCTGTTCTTCACACACTCATCAGCATGATTTCTAACATGGCTGTTGAACACCATCTTTGCTCCTTTTCACCCCATCACAGTTCCTTACCTTTCCGAGGGAGTTAATGTGTTCAAAGTAACCACGACTGGAAAAGCATAGTGTCTGACGGTGTTTGTCCCGGCTTCACTGCAGAGACGTGCCTTTGACTTCCGAGGCTCAGAGCAGGGACAAGGCGGCCCAGCAGTGATGCATGAGCCTAGATGCAAGGCAGCGATTAGCCGGGTGCCCCCTCCCAGGCGTAAATCCTCGGGGAAGTTCTTAAATGTCAGGCCGCGGCCTGCCTGTGTCACAGCACATACATTATAAATCAAGAAATCTGAGGAATAAATAAAAATTCCTTTTGTTGTTCCTTTTTGAAAGAGGTCACAGAGACTTGAGGCTATGGGAGAACAGCATACTGTTTCTCTCCTTTAACCACACAAAGCTACCTCTGCACGATCGCGAGCACAAAGACCACGCACATGGGCTACCCGCATCTTTTTGGAACCAGAGAAAACAAATGTTAACTAATTGTAGGCTAAGACCTGTAACTCCTCACGTCCACAAACTGATTTACTATCAGATTGCATTTGTCTAGGTGTGCTGAATCTTAAAATAATGAAGGCGATGACTGTATAGCCAGGGCTGTATATCTGAGCGGTGGGTTGTAGCAGCCACCCTCTCCCTGGGCAGTAAGACTGAACATGTCTGTGTGTGCTCCCTTTGCATTGTCTGATCCAAGCTGAAGTCTTCTCTTAGGGACTTAAGACCCAGGAGTAGAGAAATCATTCCTTGTTTCCTTCCTCATTCTTCACTGAGGTGAGCTGGAGCACCACACACCCTACGGTGTTCAGCTGACCACTACCAAGCCATCAAGTGAAAGTCTTCATTAAATAATAGAAATTAGCCCAACCGGTGTGGCTCAGTGGACTGAGCATCGTCCTGTAGATTGAGAGGTCCCAGTTCGATTCCCAGTCCGGGCACATGCCCAGGTTGTGGGCCAAATCCCCAGTGGGGGGCATGCAGGAGGTGGCCAGTTGATGTTCTCTCTCGTCGAAGTTTTGATCTCTCTCTCTCTCTCCCTCTGCCTTCCTCTCTATCTAAGAATTAATCAATAAAGGGGAAAAAAGCAAACAGCGTGGCTTTGATTGAGCATTGCATTTAACTTTAATCTTGTAAGTGGGAGAACTTGGAAGCGTGGTCAGTTATGTAAGGTTTCATAATCAAAATGGAAGGAACATGCTCGTTCCAGAGGGCGGATACGGTTTCCTGGTAGAGGTGCTTCTCACCGAGCAGCTCCCTAGATGTCTGGACATGGGGAGCAGGTTAGCTACTACTAGAGTGGACACTGAATGCTGACATTTAGACTCCTCGTTCTCAGAAGAAGCAGAGGTTTTACTTAGGAACCAATGTTTTATTTACACTTGTGCACGTATTTGGGTAGGACCTAGACTTCTGCATCGCAAAGCATGCGGAACCAGTTTTGTCTCTGGTGGGTATAGAACCTATTCTGCCCCCTTCTCTATGGGGTGCTGGATGCATTTCATCTCTGCAGGCTTCAGTTTCCGCGTGTAGAAGTGAGAATTAACATAAGCCACTTTGGAAATTGTCACTGGGCTCAAGTCAGCTGAATGCTCCTAGCCTCCCTGTCTCCTCCCACCGTCATGGACTTTCCTTCTCTCCTGCAGGGAAGGCACAGACTGCAGGTAGACACCGGGCTGGAGGGTGACTGGTGTGGCCTCATTCCTGTTGGACAGCCCTGCCGTCAGGTGACGACCACCGGCCTCAAGTGGAACCTGAGTAAGTAAAGCCCTTGCACAGAGCGAGGCTTCTTTCCTTCCTTTTCAAATTGACCTTTGGGCTTCCCCAGGCGTGGGAAGGCTGCGTCACATGGTGCGTCTCTGCAACATTGCACGGGGCTGCCAGACTGATTGCCCAGGTGACTGCATCACTTCACACCGCTCCGCCACATCCTCCCCAGCCCAGGTGACTGCATCACTTCACACCGCTCCCCCACATCCTCCCCAGCCCAGGTGACTGCATCACTTCACACCGCTCCCCCACATCCTCCCCAGCCCAGGTGACTGCATCACTTCACACCGCTCCCCCACATCCTCCCCAGCCCAGGTGACTGCATCACTTCACACCGCTCCCCCACATCCTCCCCAGCCCAGGTGACTGCATCACTTCACACCGCTCCCCCACATCCTCCCCAGCCCAGGTGACTGCATCACTTCACACCGCTCCCCCACATCCTCCCCAGCCCAGGTGACTGCATCACTTCACACTACTCCGCCGCACCCTCTCTAGCCCAGGTGACTCTACGACACAGCTCAGTGTTACCTCCTTGTGGGCTGGCTTTGGTTTTTCCTGGGAGCTAATGATGTTCAACATCTTTTCATGTGTTGATGGGCCATGTGGATCTTTTCCTTGGAGTAATATCTTACGCAGATGCTTTGCTCATATTTTACTCGCGTTATTTCTCCTTTCTTCCTGTCTGTAGTCCAGATGCAAGTTCTTTATCAGATGTATGGCTTGCAGATATTTTCTCAGAATCTTCGGCTTGTCTCGTGATTTTCTGAAGTTTCATTAACTAAATGCATTTCATTTTGATAAAGTCCAGTTTTTCCTTTTATGGGTTGTACTTCCGGGTTGTACCTGAGCACCCTTTGCCCAGCCTTCACGTGAGTTTGTGTATATGAAATCTGCTCTACAGTTCCAGGGGGCAGCTGTTCTAACGCAGCAAGTTCTTTTTGTGGTCAGACCTCTGCGATTTTAGAAGATTAGCTGCTCTTATTAAATTCTAAAATGTTTTCCCAGTACTTACTAACTGTATTAGGTCCTAGTTTTACTAACACTGTCTGGTTTGAAGAGAACAGAAACTGAGGCAGACCTGTTCATGAAATAACACTGATTCCAAAAGCATCAGCAGGCCCCGTGAATCAACACTGGTCTCTTTAAGAATCACAGGAATTTAATCAAAGAGCTCCGATTCAGTGTCAAAGTAATTATCTCCTAATTGACCAATACCTCTAAGTATTGGTCAATACTTTTCACAATCGGTGAAAAGTAAAAGACAGAACCATGTCATTCTTTGTAACATGAAGCTTTCAGGTTCTCACAAGGTAATAAATATTTCAAGAAATACATCATCTGAGCTGGCTGGAGGGGCTCAGTTGGCTGAGTGTTGTTCTGGGCAACAAAGGGTTGCCAGTTCGATTCCTGCTCAGGGCACATGCTTGGGTTGTGGGTTCAATTCCCAGTTGGGGCACTTAGTGAAGGCAACCAATCGGTGTCTCTCTCACATTGATGTTCCTCTCCCTCCCTCCCTTCCTCCCTTTCGCTCTCCCTCTTTCTCTAAGCATGTCCTCGAGTGGGGATTTAAAAAAAAAATTGAAGATAAAAAAATACTTTAAAGAACTCCCCACAAGCCACTGCGGGAACAATGAGGAGAAATCTGGAGGTGTGTTGAAGCAGGTGTCTGGAGAACACATGAGAATCTGACAGGACGGTGAGGACAGGTCTCCAGTGCCCAGGGACATGGGACAGGCTCTGAAGCTGTTCACCAAACGACATGACCTCGCATCAGAAACATCTGGAAACATTCCAGCCTAAAACAGCTGTACTTTCAGAGTCCTGTTCTTTCCCGGGACCCGTCTCTACAGTGGCGAACCTCCGCCTGGGTCGGTAGTGACATCGCTTTTCAGGGCTGACACTGAGACTGAGGCGCACTAAGCAAAGAGAAGGTTGGCTGGCTGGGCGGTAACCTCAGCTCCCTTCATTGTACAGTAACAGGAGAGAGTCATAGGATTAGACACGGTTCCTCGCTGCTCTTTAGAACACCGTCTTACCCTCTGTGTGCCACGGTGTGCGCGTCTTAATTCTGTATGATGTTTAGTCCGGGAAGGGGGCCTTTGGCATGATGAGGGTAGGGCTTTTACCCTCCTACCTGGGTTAATGTTTGATCCTGCTGAAATGCTGCACACTATTTACATATTTACAGATTACTTTGACTACTCTTTCCTCTATAACTTTATGAAAATAAATAGCAACTTCATGGAGTATTCAAAGCAATAGAGTTGAAAGAGGGTGTTTCATTTATTATCTCTGTGAAAAATGCTAATTAATGGGGTCTTCCAATGGGTGATATGACCTCATTAAAAAGTAATAAAAATAACTTTGAAATAACATCATGTTGACTTAAAGAGAAGTGGACAGATTTCTTTATCTGTGTTATAGGCACCAGAAACACCAGAAAAGGTGTTATTGGACAGATCCCTAAGTTAAAGGATGAGGGCTGTCCCCTCCTCAGTTCTTGTCAGTCTCATGAGAAAGAACTCAAACAAGTGACAGATGGCAGTGTTGTAGTAAAGTGAATTTATTAAGAAATAAAGGGAGCAACTGTATTAAAGAAGCAAGGCAAGCAAATCTATCACAACTGCATCTGGCATAAAACATAGATGGAATCTCAGCTAATCTGAGGAGCAAGCCTGATGGGGGCTGTAGGGGTTTTATACTTTTCTGTCTATAGGTTTTAAGATTCCTCTGCCAGGTACTTTGGAACAGATCAGCTCTCCAGGTCTCCTCTTTACATTGTTGTGGCTTTCTGTTTTTTGGATGTATTGTACATATTCCTGGTCATCTTGGCAAGTCCTAAGACAGCTGACTTCTTTGTTCAGTGGGTGAGATAAACTCCCCTTTTTTTCTCCCCCCTCTCTCCTGCCTTAGCAGTTCCCGGGTGATTTAAGCTATGTATTGTCTGGTTAGGGAGCAGAGGTATAAACGATTTGCTCTCAAGTGTCCTTGGTTGGGGAAGATAGGTCTTGCTGCAAGCTGCCCACACTATTTGGCCTTGTTTAGTATTCTTGTCTTAGTTTCCCCTTCCACTGGCCCTGGATTTTTCCTATTTCTTGCTATCCTGTTACCCCTGGAAGACCCCCGCTTACTCAGTGTCATGTCTGTGGAAGCAAAGCCCTGAAGTCAGTGTCATTTTGTCAGTCACACCTGCAAAGTGACTGGTTGGGCCCGGGCCTGGAGAGGAGAATGGAGATGCAATAACTTAGGGGGAGCTACTTTTGGGTCAAGGACAGTAAGGAAGGCCTAGTAAGGAAGCACGCCTGAGCCTTCCTCAGGGGGTCTCCAGGCTTGATCTCTTCCAGTCTGTACCTACTCTAAAATAGGATGCCACACATTCTAACAGTGGTCTGATTGGCCCTTTCCATTTACAGTATCTCCAATCACATTCTCTTTTAACATAGGTAGATGCCTGTGTATCCATCACCCAGAAGTGGATCTTTACAAATCTTGTTGGTGCTACCTGTGTTACAGTGCTTGATTTCATGATGGTGTGCTGTGATCATGCCGTGACATGTGTCTGGCTCAGGAGTTTCTCCAGGTCGTATGCAGCTGATAGTAAAATCGCTGTGTCCTAGATAAGTGTACCTCACCTTTAGGAGATACCCCGTATGTCTCTGCCAGTGGTTCTGCCAGTGTGCACTCACCCCAGGGCGTACAAGAGTCGCCGTGCTCCACGCCCTCACCCAGTTCTTGGCATTGTCAGATGTGACCTTGTTTGCTGATCTGACCAGTGTCAGTGGTATCTCTGGGGGGTAACAACAGAGGGAAAGCACCCTTCTGTAGTAACACACCCTGCGGGTTTCCTCGTCTGTGGATTGCTGCTGTCTTTTTGCCCACTAACCATTGAGCAAATTTGGTTCATTCCTCACTCTTAGAAGTTCTTCAGACCCTAACTATGATCTCCTGCCTCTCCTTGGCCTTTTTCCCCTGGTGTATGGCATTTTCGCATCACAGAGATTATGGTAAATTAAAGGTAGTCGAATTTATGAATCTTTTTCTTTAAGGTTGGTAATGTTTGTGTCTTAAGTCCTCTTTCTATTCCCCATGGTCATAAAGATGTTCTCATATTTTTGTTTTATGTTTTATTTTTAGGTCTTTTCTTTCCCTTGAAATTGATTTTTGTGTATGACATGAGTTAGAGATCCAATTTTGTTTTCCTTACTGATAACCAGTTGCCCCAGCATCATGCATCATTCTTTTCTAGTGATTTGCAGGTACCATAAGTTTTCCTGGTCCTGGGTATGTTTCTTGAATCTCTGTCCGGTTCCCTTGCATACATCCGTCCTTAACTGACACCACACTGCCCTAATGCCATCGTTTTATAATCAGTATTGAAATGGGGTCAGTTGGGTCCCCTAACCTTCTTCTTCATAATTGTCATGGCTATTTTTGGCTTTTTGCTCTTATTCATAATTTTGGCATTAGTTTCACAAGTATCACACACAATTCCATTATAATTTTTATTGGAATTATATCTAATTTACAGAAAAATTTGGGGAGAATAAAACAACTAGGGAAGAAAGTTTCTGTATAAAATTGTATATATCTTTCTGTTTACATCGTTTATAGTTAGTTTATCTCTATTTACTTTGAACTTTGCATTGCTCTCAATAATTTAGAAATTTCAAGGAACCCTATATTGTGGTGTTGTTATAAGTTATACCTTTTTAAACTTAATTTTCTGAATTCATTGGTGACATATGGGCATACAATTGATTTCAGTATGTTGCATTCATATATCACTGAACAATTTTATTATATGAAAACATGACTATAGATTCTCTTAGGTTTTCTACAGTCATATTTTTGTTCGTAATCAAGGTTTCTGTCCTTTTCAGTTGTGACTCACTGAAACAGTAGCTTTTAAGGAAGACTATTTTTTTTTGCCCTAGCTGTTTTGGCTCAGCAGTTGGAGCCTCGACCCATGGACCAAAGAGTCGCGG